CTCTGGCTTGCCACAGCCTCGCTGACACCCCACTGGCAGTCAGGCACTTATCCCCCATTCAGCTGGTCACCATGATCCCTGCTTGGCCTCCTCCCCAACGCACCCACAAAGCCCCAAACATGAACAGCCGACCCAGACCTGGGGCACACAGGGGAGCTTGACATGGGGAGGGGACTAAAATGGTGGCAGCAGCATGAGGCTGGATGCAAGACACCCAGCAAGCAGCCACATGTTGGTGCCAGCCCCAGGGGCAGACGGGAGCAGCACAGAGAAGAGGATCTCCCACTGCAGCCAGGTCCCAGCATGTCCCCACACAGTCCCTCACCCAGGGGCTTGTGCCCCTGAGAGAACTGGGAGCACTGGCACTTGGGGTTAATTCACAGCTCAGGGGAGATGGCCCCTGTTTCTCAGGCGGTGGCAGAGCGTTCCTACACCGCCACTCTGGGCACGCCAGGCAGCCTCCGTGCAGGATTGGCATGATGAGGTTTATCAGATGCTCAGATAACACGTTAAGAAAAGCCAGAAAATAATAATCAGCTTAGCAGTTTATCTCCTACCCTGGCATTTTTCAGTCAGGGCAGTACTTGGGGCACACCTAACCCAGCTGGATCAGCTCACCCGCCTGCCACTGCATCGGCTGGCAGGAGTTAACCCATTGCACATGCACCCTGCTTGCTCCTCTCCCAAAGGAGAGAGGAGTGAGCCAAGCCTGCCCGCTGGGGCTGCTGACGGCTCAGAGGAGACCCCCAGCCGCCCCCATGCCTCTCCAGGCTCTGCTGCAGCCCAACATGGCGTCTTTGGTCTGGTTATCATTTGAAGGGAGATTGTAAACATGCTGGAGACTGACATTTCAGGTGCGCAGAGTTATTAAAGGAGCTTTATTCCTGTTCCTGGCTAGCCCCGAAATTAGAGGCACAGCAGGGAGAAGGCGGCGAGTGCACCGGAGCACGGGACAAGCCCAGATCAGGTGTGACTCATCGCTGGAGACCAATTAACACAGCTCTTCCCAAGCAGGGATGAGTCTGGCTCCGACTCCTGGCAATGAGGTTTCCCTCCTGTTGCAGCAATGGGAAATGGAGGGAGGGCTGGCCGGAGCCACCCTTGGCAACCCAGCTGCAACCCCTCGGCTCCCCCGCAAGAACAAGGCAGGCTGGGGAGTTACTGTGGTTTTGGTGAGTGCAGGCAGGCATCAGCTGCAGCGACCGTCTCCCAACACTGGAGGGATGTGAGCTGTTGAGATGATTTGAATTCTCTGGAGGGGATTCTAACTACAACCTAGAAACCCTGCTGAGCTAAACTGTCAGCTGGCATAAATCCACGTCGATCTGAAGAGGGAATCCACTGCTATAACCTCAAAGGGGGGGTCTGGTTTGAGGATGGCACTGGCCAGCTTGCCAATCCTCCGAGTCAAGAGCAACCCTCATCCTCTGGCCAACAGCAATGAGCTACACCATGTCCTGCTCCCCAGGGCACAGGGAGTGCTGGCACGAGATGGCAATAGCTCTTCAGAGGGTCCCCCTGCTCCGTCGCCCCTCTGGTATGGCTGGGGACAGGAAAAAAAGGAGTGACAAAACTACCAAGGCTTTCCCACCGTGGTCCTAACCTTGGCTTTGGGTGGCTGCTGCCCTGGCATTACTGGGCCGCATAGACCCCTGCTCTGCTGGGACCCCCACACACTGCAAATGCAGGAAGGGTCAACAGCAAGAGCGTGGCTGCAACACGCATGGGAAGAGCAGTTTTAAGATGCTGCAGCACATCATGTTACAAGCATCGCTGTGCTCCCAAGCACGCCAGAGGCACCTTGGACACAAATATAGCCCATGCTGCTACAGGTACCTTTCTGAAGGTGCTCAAAGCAGTTTTGGGTGTAGGGCAAGAGCAGCTTGAGCTAAGGAGCTTAAGAAAAGCAGAGTGCAGAGATGTGTCCTTGTGGCTTCTTCCCACTCCCAACAGGAGTGACATTTGTTTCACTTCATGTGCTTATCAATTCTTTTAATTGCACATTAACAAGAGATCTAATAACGCCCAGGGAACAGATACACAAGTTTGAACACACTTTCTCTCTTTCCACTGACCTATTAATTATTTCAGAGCTCTTGTGCAGCTTTCTAGCTGTACCTCCATGCGGTTGGAGACGTTATCTGTTGCAGCTTGGGCGGAAGCGAACCTGCTGTGGATACAGCTTGGCCCTTCAGGAAGTGCATTTTGCGTTTGGCTGCTCTCTCTGTAGCAGCAGAGTGGTTAAGGCCAGAAAACCCTTTGGCTGCAGACCCTGTGCCTCCACTGGCATGGCACACAGCTGATGCAGGGATGCTGCTGCCCTCCTGTATCCGACACATACCCTGGCTGAAGGGACAAGGGTGGACCATCTGCTAGGCCACAGGGCTCTCTGAGCAGCCACATCATATGGTTGGTTCAAAACACGTCTGTCCCACTGAGGGATGTTCACCATCAAGCAGAGCGTGGACACAGCTGGTCGAAAGCAGGGACTTTAGCCCAGGATTTGGGCTAAGTACTGGGGCTCCTCTTCCTCTGCAAATAGGCTGCAGCAAATTCAAGCTGCTCTTTTTTGGGAGTGGGAAAGGCCCTGTGACAGACCCAGGTTAGCATCACGCTAACCAAGGCCAAGACAAATAGCACTCATGGGTGTAGGAAGGTCACCCTGTATCATCCCCCCTGTCCCTCCAAATGGGACAAGAGCCACCATGAGCACAGCACTGTCACCTCCCTTTGTCACTTGCCTCAGGACTGTTTGCAGCCCCAAGAGCCTCTCGGGGAAGGCTGTATGGGATGCCCAAGGGTTTCAGGGCTCATGCCAGCCCTTGCAAAGCCTCGTGGTCTTTGTCCTTCTCCTGGCCCCTGTGCTGCCCCTCACCCTGGTATCTGGTCAGACAGAAAGCCCACACCTTTCCCTTTCAAGGCAGGCATGAGACCCACATACCAGCTGTGCCCAGGGAAGCAGACACCCAGAGACCAGCCAAAAGCAAAACCCGCAGCCACTTTTTTAAAAATCACATTTTATTTTTCAGCCCTCCTGTCATTTGCAGTGTTGCTGTTCAGAGCCTGAGTTAACACCCTGACAGCTTTGTGACTCCTGTGTCTCATTCCTCCTGTCCAAGAGGGCCCAGAATCAACTGCCCCCAAGGCTGAAGGTCCTTGATCCTACCGTGGGGACAGTGAGATGCAAGACAAGTGTGATGGCTGGCTCTCATGCTCAGAGGAATGGGTAGATTGCAAAAATTAGAGCTTAAAAACAATTAGCTATTTCTCCCCTGGATTGTGTCAATTGCAAAGTGAGTAAAACCTGAACCTGAGAGCGAGGAAGGCATGGTCCGAGCACTGGTCCCTGGACTTTGGGGTGCTCCCTGTGCAGAGGGGACAGGTCCCTTCCTGCCTGCCAAGGCAGGATCCAGCTCTTGGTAAGAGGCCACTGTGGTGGTTTAAGGCAGCAACGTGGTTTGGTTCCTGGTACAATGGCAGGGCACCTGTTTTTGGAGGTAGGACTGTGCTCTCAGCACGGAGGGACAGAGGCTGATGCTGTGCAGGGCTGAGCCCAGTGACCACGTGAGGCTCAGGTGGGCTGGGCAGATCCTCCTGTACAGGACAGGAGGAAGGCACAGGAAGCACAGCCATCGCTCAGGGCGAGAGGGATATGAGGAAGCAGGGACAGGGCCAGCAGCAGATTCGGAGAGCCTCAAGACAAGCCACGGTGCTGCAAGCTGGGCACACAGAGCCAGATCCTGCCTCTCCAGGAGAAGGAGGCAGCACAGACAGTGCTGGGCTGGGGGCCAGATCTGGCTGGACCGTGCCTCTGAGTCCTGCTCAGGGGATGCGGGGCTGGTGGTGGCAGAGGGCCAGAGGGGTGCGATGGCTCCCGAGGTAGTCTCCGTTCACAGTCCCTTGTTAAAATAGACATATGGCACTTTGTCTCCATGCTTGGCCATGATGCTATCACGCAGCTCCGGCTCAAGATCAGCCAGCGCAAGGGAGCTGTGGGGAGAAGGGATAGACACTGGGACCTGCAATGCTCCTCCCTGACCACTGGTCAGGCCGCTGTCCCTCCCAATTGCCGTTCGAGGTCTCCTGCAGTCCCTGGGATCTTGCAGGCTCATGTCAAGACCCACCACCCACCCCTGGCACCCACTACTCCAAGTCCTGGGGGGCAGAAAGCTGGCCATGAGGCTGGGGGTCCCACTGCTCCCAGTGCATAGAGCAGGGGAGGCACATGCTCTGCTGCTGCCCAGGGCACCAGTGTGTACAGGCAGGTGCTGTTGAAGGGTGGGTTGAAGGGTGAGTGCCCATCGCGCCTCTCCCAGGATGGGCAGAGAAGAGCTAGGGGAGTAGGAAGGCTCCCAAGGTCCCGCACAGGAGGGGGAAGCAGTGGGACAGGTACCATGTCTGTGGGAACAGGGCGCAGGCTGCCGGCACCATGAACAGGAGGCTGTGGGACAGAGAAAATCTGAGTGTTAGTATTGGGGATTGCAGCCCATTGGCCCCCCCGGCCGCAGTGATCTCAGCCCAAGAGGTGCTGCTCATGCCCCATGACTCCCCATAACTCAGGAAAGCCCAGGCTGAAAGGCAAGCAGCTTTTCAATCCTCTGCTGGGAAAAAGGTCTTTTTTCAATCATCCCTCAGAGCCACACTCCAGGCACCCAAAGGCGTTTGAGCAGCGAGATACTTACAAGCCCCCACACAGCAGTACCTGTAGAGGCCCATGGAGAACCCGGATCCGCTGCAAGGGAAGAGCCAGGACTGAGTCCCCAGCCTCACTGCAAGCCCCACTCATAGTGTGGGGAGTCTTCTCCCCTCAACAGGGCTGAATGCCCAACACCTCTGGGGTGCCACTGACCCCTGCCACCCTCCCACAGCCTCTCCATGTCACCCCAGAGACCTTTGGTGTACTTTGGGTGACTCAAATAGGGGGCAAAGCAAGCTAGGCTCTGCAATGCCCCATTTCATCCCCAGCATCTTGGTAGCTGGGGAACCACAGGACTCACTGGAAAGCCATGGTAGGAGAAATGTGGGCTTACCTGCATGAAGGGAAATTTCTCCAGTCGCTCCATGATGATGGGCAAAATAACTAGTTGCAGAGAGAAGTGGTCAGGGCACCCCACAAGCCAGCCTGCAGGGCTGCCCCAGCAGAACCCTCCTCCCGGAGGCCATGGTAGCAGCTGGTTGTGCTGGGGGCTGCTGGATGTTTGCTCATGGCAGGGATCTGGCATGGCACCTCCATCCCTCCATTGTCCGGACAGCACGCTCTGTACTCATGCTCCCATCCTTCCTGCCAGGCTTGCAGCATGGCAAGGGTCTCATGAGGGCAGGGGAACATGGGGCTGTGGGGCAAGGAGCCAGGCCCAGATAGACCAAGAGGTGTTCTCGTGGGGCCCAACTGCCACAGGAGCATCCCACATCCCCCCTGGGCTGTGGGTTGGAATGGGGAGGGCTGGGGACTCAGGAGGCTCTGATGGGAATGGCAGGATGGGGAAACTAGCTCCATCAGCAAGATGAGACCAAATGCCACCCAGGATGCCGGGCCACTCTCCCTCTTCTTCCCAGGGAGAAACTGAGGCAGAGGAGGGCGAGGCAGCAGGTCCCAAGGGAGCCCCTGGTCCAGTC